CCCCCAGTAGATAGTTGTATGTCATAGTTGCACATCCTTCTAGTTGCTGTACGTGGGACGCGGCCTCAGCATGGCTGGAGCAGCAGTGTGTCGGTGTGCGCCCGGGATCCGAACCCAGGCCGCTAGTAGCGGAGCGCGCACACTTAACCGCTAAGCCATGGGGCCAGCCCAAGAGGTGGAATTTTTAATCTGGTTTGGGTTTACAACAAGTTTGTGGCTTGACTGCTAAAGCTCAGTGCTGGTAGGGGGCTGGGAGAACTCCTGCAGGGAACAAGGTGGGGCATGGGCCTTAGGTGTGAGAAGTGGGCAGGGCACGAGGCACAGGGTCTGCTCCTCCCTAGCACCAGAACCAGCCCATCTGTGGGCCTGGCCCCTTGACGCAGGCCTGGCCAGGAGAGCAGAAGCTAGCATTTCCAGGGGACTGTGGCAGCGACATGTAGCTAGAAAGAGGCTCCTACTGGGCGGTGGGGCAGACTACGGCAAGAAGCCCCTAGGCTGCCCTGGATTAGTAGCCCCCTAGTCCTAGAAAAAGAGTTTATAGCTTGGGGAAGGGGCTTTGGGGTATGTAGCAGAGAGCGGCAGGAGGCACTGAGTCAAACTCCAGGTCAAGAGGCCAGGGCTGGGGACTCTGGAGGTGATGGAGGCTGAGCCACAGGCCTCTGCAGGGAGGCCACTAAATGAGTGCCTGACCTGGCATGAGGCCCCAGCCCAGTCCCTGCACTGTGGCATTATTGGACACACTCACTGCTCTGTGAGCTGGAAAGGTTGAAGTGCTGCAGCCTCAGCAAGGAGCCGGCTGCCTGGGCCCAGCCCTTGTCACTGAGGAGGCTGCCGTGACTCAGCACTAAGCGCTCCAGGCTGGGGCAGCCCCTGCCACAGCCACCAAGCCCTTGTCTGTGAGTGCTGGCAAAAGGCTCAGTGACAGTTGCTTCAGCTGGGGGCACTGGAGTCCCTGCAAGGATGGGTGGGGGGTGTAGTATGGCACTGGAGCCCAGGGTCTGGGGTCCTTCCAGGTTCCCCAGCCCCCAGCCAGAGGAGTAGCCATAGGCAGCAGAAGCCAATGAGAAAGGAACTTTTCCCAAGCAAAAAGTGGGTTGGCCCAGGGCCTTTGGCTCCAGCCCAGGGCCCTCAGCCTATCCCCACCCCCAACCCCACACCTTGGCCAAACTGGCATCAGTCAGCTTGTGGCAGGCTATGAGGCCCAACTCCTGCGGGGCCTACGGCATGAAGGGGCCCTGTGGCTGGAGAGAAGGGTCCTTGTGGCCCAAGGCCTGATGCTCCAGCTCTCAGTGTAGCTCGGGAAGAAGCCCTTACTTCTCAGGTTTCTCCTGAGTTTGGCCCTCAAATGCTCCTAGAGAGAGACTCAGGAGGTGCAGAAGGGCAGCTGAGCCCAGGGACCACCCCACCCTCAAGGGTCCTGCACTTGGGGCCCCTGTGCAGGCTCCTTACTTGGTTCCCCCAGCCCCTGAAGCCACCAGTCACGGAACAACTTGCACCAGGCCAGGCACAGGACTGAGGTGGGGGAGGTAGGTGCAGATGGCCCGCAGGTCCAGTTGGCGAGGGCCACACAGGAGAATAAGGCTAGCACCCTGAGGCTTGTGCCCAGTGCTGAGATCAGGGAGAGCACTGAGGCATCCCAGGAGGGAAGTGGAGATGGGAGAGAGCAACGGAGAGATGGCTTGTGCCCATGTCACCAGGCTTAGCAGGCATCAGTAGCAAGTTTCTGCCCAAGGTTCCAGCCTCACAAGCAACACGGAGCTACCAGGGGGTCCATGGAGGGAAGCAACATGGCCCCTGTGCTGGTGAAAGATCAGCATGGACAGGGTGAGCTGTGGGGGTGGGACACCAGAAGTTTGCTGGAAGACAGAGGCCTAGATTGGCTGCGGCTGGAAAGATGCTGGTGGAAATTTCTAAGGTATCTGCCCTGCCTATGCTCCCAGCCTCTGCTGAAGGGGTGGGCTGAGGCAGCCCTTGGACCACAGCTTATTGGACCAGCAGTGGACATCCAACCCTAGCTGAGCCAATTAGATATGCTCCCTCTAGAATTTGAAGCAGAACTGTGAGGTCATGGTGAGCACAGGGCTGCCACCTGCCAGAAGCAGTCAGGGTGAGAGGAGCAGGAACTAAGGGCAGAGTAGAGGAAGCTGGTTTGTAGAGAGATGCAGAGACACAAGAATGCTCCAGAGGGAACAGCTAAGAGATACGTAGTGGTAAAGGGAAGATGGAGGGGCAGGGGAAGAGAGGCGCTTGTGGGGAAAAGGTTGAGAGACAGTTTTCAGGCTGGGAAC